GACTACGACTACGACTACTACTACTACTACTACTACTACTGCTACTACTACTGCTACTACTACTACTACTACTACTGCTGCTACTACTACTACTACTACTACTACTACTACCGCTACTGCTACTACTACCGCTACTGCTACAACTACGACGATGAGGAGAAGGAGGAGGATGGCGTTTACCGCTCCTACTAATGTTGCTTTCCTAGAGGCTCCAACTCCTGGGTAGGGTCGCACTGGGATATTTTTTGACTATTTTTGAATATTCCCCCTGTAGAGGGACAGGCCCGACTTAACTTTAGCCTGGACCACCAGAGAGAATCTCGAGCACCAAGAAAGTACCGAAGCTGGACGGTTGACACGTGTCGGGCCCTGGGATGCTGTACTCGTTCGACACGTTTTCGATCCTTCTCTGGGTGCTTGAGATTATTTCTGGGATGTGGTCTTTAAACACGATGGGAGCAACATAAGTCTGGGGTAAGAAAGGGGTATGTTTTAAAGGGGTGTGGTGCCAATGCTGGATCTGGCGAGGTTATCTATCGTAGATAGTATCGCCACTTCCACGATCGGCACCACACCCCTTTATATGCCACACCCCTTTCCGACCTCCAGAGCTCGGTCTGGCGTCTCACGATTTTGGGCTTTTCCGCGGCCAGCTGGGCGGCGACGGTGTCGGAGAGCCGTTGGCGGCTCGTTGGTAACTAGCCGTCGCCCTGCGGGGCAGCGCTCTCGTAATTAGCCGTAGCATATTGAGGTGAAGTGTTGAGGAACGTCATGGGATGCGTCGAGGGGCCCTTGATGTTGCTGCCGAATATCTCATGTAAGGCATTCCAGAGAGGCTCGGCGGCAGGATGATTTCTCTGGATCTGCCTGATGAGGCCAACAGCAGTGGCACGACGATTGTTGCAGGGCTTCTCCGTAGTCGCTATGCTGTAACTGTGGTAGTCGTCGTGTTTGTAGAGGCCGTGGTGGGGGTCGTCGATGTCTGCAGGCGGCGTGCCTTCTTGCCAGACGCCGCCGCTGCTGCTCTGCATTGTGCCTCAGAGGTGCCCCGGCCTGCACCGTGCATACTTCCAGCGAAGGCCGTGCGCAGCAGCCGCACCCGCGGCCCCGATGGCCCGTGTTCCTGGCGACGGTGCGCTCGGCCGGCGACCGCCTTCAGTCGGCGTCGCCCCAACATACCAATACTACGTGTGAAGCGATCTACCACAGGATGGGTATACGGTATGTCCAGGTCGGACGCGCGCCTCCAAGGAGGACGTACAGCATTGGTATGTCTCTTCATGGCGTGCTTCGCCCACTGCCGCGCCCGCGCGGGCCTCACGTCGGCGACCGCCTGCTGGACCCCTCTGCGCGGCGCCCTGCGGGCGCCGCGCCGGGCCGCCAGCCCGCCGCGCCGGCGCGCCACTGAGCCGGGCGGGCCGGAGCTGGCCTGAGCCCGAAGTGTGCGAGCCAGAGCGGCCGCGGAGCCTCCTCCCCCTCCTCCCAGCTCCTCTCAGCTCCACCTCCTCCTCCTCGTCTTCCTCCTCCTCCTCCTCCTCCTCCTCCTCCTCCTCCTCCTCCCTGCTTCTGCTCTCCGCTGCTGCTCCCTCTTCTGCTTCTGGTCCTCCGCCTCCTCCTCCTCGCTCTCCGCCTGGGCCCCTGCGTCCCGCGCGAGTCAGCATGGAGCACATTTGTCCCCGCTTGGGCCTCTGGGATCGTTCGCGCCGCCACGGCTGTGCTCCCCAGGGAGGTTCTGGGCAGAAGGCACCTCTGGACATGTCCGATTCTGGACCCCCGAGCCAGAGATCGCTCTAAGGGATCAGAAGCTCTCCGGTCCCCTCTCAGAAGCACCCTGCCTTCTCAAAAGGTCACCCCCGTAGCCCCACCCCCGTGTGCGCGCAGCCGAAGGAGGGGACGGGAGGAGCGGGGTAATGGAAGCTGAGGAGCCTTCCCCAGTTGTCGTGCCTTCCTTGTGGCCTAGCTGTGATAGTTGGTTGCGCCCTGCAACGCCGCCATACCGATTCCCAGCTTTTTGCAGATATTCACTGCTAGCTCGCTGTGACTGCGCAGGTACCAGAATCGGACCTGCAAGAGGGGATAGGCGAGGCAAGTACGGTATGTTCGCACGTAGACCGCACTCCGGGCTGGCCCACTCTGCCCTTCACGTTTCGTCATGCTGCCTCTGTGTTTCCATGTCAGGGAGTGACCTGGCGAACAGAGTGTTCAGCGCAGCTTTCGTATTTGCTCTCTCCTCCCCGTCGACATCTTTTCAAAGTCAGCTCTACCCAGAGTTTACGTATGTCATGGCGCCCAGCACCTTTAGGCCAGCAAGGTGTGCGACCGAAACAAGAGGTGACCGCAAACGTGCCCGAAGTCTTGACCGAAAACGTAGTGTGACCGAAACTTAGAATCTTATAGGTTCCGAACCAAACATTCAGGTCACACTCGGGTACGGTCGGAACATTTTAGGCGCCAGTTTCGGGCACGCTCGGGCAGATCTTCGGGAACGTCTTCGGTCACTGCACCCCCCTGATAGAGACGAGGCTGCACGACGTGTGTTCTCTGAATCTTACGACTTCCCTTGTCAACATGACCTGGATTCCCCCCCCAAGCTGTACGCAGTTCTTTGGTGACACAAGGTCTAAGCATAGCCGAACTATCGGAGCCCTCCCTTGGCGAAATCGGTTTGGCGAGGGGTCGAAGAAGCATCTCGGCCTGCAATATAAACTCGTCGAGTCGCCGTCAGCGGGTGTGTTTGAGGACCCATGCAGTATGCGGAAGCAGGAGAGCAACAGCGTCGACTTCCTTTAAAACTCGCAGTCGGGTTGTGAACCTGAGACTTGCAGGACTCGTTGGATCCAACACAGGCAGTGCACTCGGGGAGAGGGAAGTCAACAACCAACGATCTGCGTACGTGTTGCCTGCGTGTGCCTGATGCCTATAGTGTTTGCGGGTCGTCGCCATCGTCGTCACGGTCGCTTCCGCCGTTGCCGTCGTCGCCGACGCTGTCGCCGTCGTCGTTCTTGCCGTCGTCGTCGTTGCCGTCGACTATCATATCATTGTTGCCGTCGTCCCCGCCGACGCCGTCGTCGCCGTCGTTGTCTACCTTGCCAGTGCCTATATAAAGAGAGCCGTCAGGGAGTTTGGCAAAGTCCGGTCACGCTCGATCCTCCCATGTACGGGTGAGCAGGCGTATCGCTGTTAACAATAAGACTATCATTGGAACCGCAGGTTGTGATAACGATGTATCAGTAGCAACGCCAGTACTAGTCTCAAGACAATCATTTGCAGCAGTTGGTTACAGACACTTTCGCCGATGGTAGCCATATTCTCGAGCCAGAATGCGCACGACGAGCCACAATGCGCACGACAGCGCGTGCAGGAAATGGCTCTTGACCAGAGACAGGAACTGACCGCAAGCAAGCGGGATTGCTGATGATGACGACGAATAGGAGGATGAGGATGAGGATGAGGATGGGGATGATGATGATGCGGAGGATGATAACGAGGATCAGGATGCGGATGGGGTTGGGGATGGGGATGATGACGATGGCGGTGACGACGATGATGATCATGAGGATGAGGAGGATGAAGAGGGTTAGGGTGAGGATGATGATGAGGATGTACATGCAGATGCGGATGATGATACTGATGACGACGCTGACGATGATGACCATGATTATACTGATGATGCTCATGATGAGGATGATGATGATGTTGGTGATGCTGATGCTGATGATGATACTGATGATGCTGATGCTGCTTATGATGATGGTGATGATGATGATGCTGCTGATGATGATGATGATGATAATGATGACCATGCTGATGCTGCTAGTGCTGCTGATTAAGACGGTGTCGATGACGAGTATGACGATGATAATGCTGATGCTGACGTTGCTGCTGATGATGCTGATGCTCGACGATGATGATGATGGTGAGGGTGGTGGTGGCGGTGGGGGTGATGATGATAGTGATGATGGTGGTGGTGGTCGATTGTGGTGATGAGGATTGTTTTAAGATGATGATGATGAAGATGAAGCTGATGATGAGTTTAACCATCTGATGATGACGACGTCGCTGACGCTGACGCTGACGCTGACTATGATGATGCTGATGATGATTCTGATGATGATGCTAATGATGATGCTGCTGATGATGATGCTGATTATGATGATGCCGATGTTGTTGATGATGCAGATGCAGCTGCTGCTGCTGCCGATTATGATAATGATGATGCTGCTGCTGCTGATGATGATGACGCTGATGATGATGCTGATGATGATGCTGATGCTGATGCTGCTGCTGCTACTGACGATGATGATGATATAACGACGATGATGATGCTGATGCTGATGCTGATGATGCTGATGATGCTGATGATGCTGCTGCTGATGATGATGATAATGATGACGATGATGATGATGATGATGATGATGATGATGATGATGATGATGATGATGATGCTGATGATGATGATGATGATGATGATGATGATGATCATGATGAGATGATGATGATGAGATGTGATGTGATTCTGATGGTGGTGGGGATGATGGGAGAGATGAGGATGATGATGATGAGGGATGATGATGATGGTGGATGGTCGGTTGGTGGTGGTGGTGGTGATGATGATGATGATGATGATGATGATGATGTTGATGATGATGATGATGATGATGATGATGATGATGATGAGGAGGAGGAGGAGGAGGAGGAGGAGGAGGAGTAGAGCAGGAGTATGAGGATGAGGATGAGGATGAGTATGAGTATCAGGAGGAGGATGAGGATGGGGTCGGGGGAGGCGTCCAGGAGGAGGGGACAGAGAGCGAACTCATGGGCTTGGGATGCGAGGGACAGGGAGCATCCCAATTGGACTGCAGAACCCACCAGCATCTCGGCCCAGTTGCTCATGACGACTCCATTTGCCCCTTCCTCCTGGCAGGTGCCATCTTCACTCGAGCCGTTGACGGCGACCGGCGCAATTTGAGTTGGGGCGGCGGCCACTGCTGTTTCCAAAGATGGCGACGTCCTGCGGCAGCCAGCCTCGGCGCTCGGCTCCCGCCGCCCACTGGGCGAGAACGGGCATCGTTTTCACTGGTCTGCTGGGCCTGCTGGGCGGCTGCAAGTTCACGACCTCGCAGGCAATGCTGTTCGGACTCAGTCGACGCGCCGCTACTCCGCAGCGCCTGTTGGCAATGCAGACCGCGCACGGCGCGAGGGGAAGCGCGCGGGAGAAAGCGTTGACGATCCGCAAGGCCGGAATCCGTACGCGAGACGTGCTGTCAGGTAGGGTTTCCGCCAGCGAAGTGATGGCTGCGCTGCTGACGTATGCTCTCTTGTTGACCCGGCGGGCTGCCGGGGTGGTACTCTTCATATTTGTGTATTCGGCATTGCTTCAGTATGGAGTTACTTCGCCAGTGCCAGGAATGGCGCTCGTTTTCGTGAGTCTGTTGGTCCTGGATTTCGGCATCGGCAAGTCAGAGCAGGTTTTTGTTGCTTTGGAGCCTGGCTATAGGTTCATCATGCTGACGCCATCTCCGCTGACTGCCTAGTATTGCTGAGACTGCGGTTGGGCACTGCAGGCGTTGATCGAGGAACCACGAGAAGGAGCGGGGCAGGAGAAGCGGAGGCGAGGAGGAGGACGACGATGAGGACGAGGTCGAGGGGCAGGAGGTTGGTTGGGAACCAAGTGAACCAGGGTTCGTAACCAACGCAGGAAGGGGAGGAGGAAACGGGGATGAGCAGAAGAGAGAGAGAGAGAGAGACAGAGCCATACATTCATACATACATACATACATACATTCATTCATTCATTCATACATACATACGTGCATACATACATACATGCATACATACGTACATGCAAACATCTATGCATACATACGTACATGCATCCATACATTCATACATACACATATACACACAGGCATACATACACACAGGCATGCATGCATGTACGCATACATGCATACATATAAATACACATACACATACACACAACTATGCATGTATACACATACACATACACATACATTTACACACATACAGCCATGTATACGTACATACACACAACACACATACATACACATACATACACACATACATACATACATACATACATGCATACATACATGCACGTACACACCCATACATACACATACACACATACACACGTACGTCTATACGTACGTACATGCATACATACATACACACATGCGCACGCCCACACACGTCTATACGTACGTACATGCATACATACATACACACATGCGCACGCCCACACATCCTCGTATGTATATACAATCCATCAATTCTTCCGTACATGCATGCATGCACACAGACATATTTACACATTCGTACATGCATACATCCATACATACATGCATGGCTGCATGTATGCATGGATGTACACGGACACACATATATACACATACATACACGCATCCATACATACATCGATACCGGCAGACACACATCCATGCATACATACACACATCCACATACATACGTACATACATACAGACACGTACGTGCATGCATGCATACATACATGTACACATGCAAATATACATACACATACATATCCATACACATATACATACACATGCACATCTACGTGTATATATATATGTATATCCCCCAATCAGAACTTGCCTCTGTAGGGGTCCTAGCGGATTCATTTCCCAATCAGTGCTTGCCTCTGTAGGGGTCCAGCAATATTAATATGGTTAGTTGAGGTGTGTCACCGATTTCCGCGGCCCGCCCAGGTGCCCGGCATTATAGCCCTATAGCCCTTCAGCCCTATAGCCCTATAGCCCTATAGCCTTATAGCCCTATGGCCCTATAGCCCTACAGCCCTATAGCCCTATAGCCCAATAGCCCTATATCTCTGTAGCCCTATAGCCTTATAGCCTTACAGCCGGATAGTCCTACTGCCCTAGAGTGCTATAGCTCTCTAGCTCTATAGCCCTATAGTCCTATCGCCCTACAGAACTAGAGCCCTATAACCCTATAGCCCAATAGGTCTGTGGCCCCATGACACTATAGCGCTATAGCCCAATTGCCCAATAGACCTATAGGCCTATATCCCTGTTGCCCTATAGCCCTACAGCATTGTTGCCTTATAGCCCTATAGCCCCATAGCCCTATAGCCCTATAGCCCTGTAGCCCTATAGCCCTATATGCCTACAGCCATATTGCCCCACAGCCCCATATCCCTACAGCCCTATAGCCCTATGGTCCGACAGCCCTAAAGCTCTATAGACTCAGAGCTCTCTGGCCCTATAGCCCTGTAGCCCCATAGCCCCATAGCCCCATAGCCCTATAGCCCTACAGCCCTATAGCCCTATAGCCGTATAGCCCTATAGCCCTATAGGCGTATAGACGAGCCCTATGGCCCTAGAGCCCTATAGTTCCATTGCCCTGTAGCCCTATAGCCCCATCGCCCTATAGCCCTATAGCCCCATAGCCCTATAGCCCGAAACAGATTTTGATTCGGCTTTTTCTCCAGTGCCACATGGTTAGGTGAGGTGTGTCACCGATTTCCGCGGCCCGCCCGGGTGCCCGGGTGCCCAGGTGCCTGGGTGCCCATGTGCCCGGGTGCCCAGGTGTCTTATGGCTCTATAGCCCTATAGCCTGATCGCCCTACCATATGCCCAAAGCCCTATAGCCCTATAGCCTTATAGCCTTATAGCCCTATAGCTCTAAAGCCCGATCGCTTTATATGCCTATAGCCCAATCGCTTTATATGCCTATAGCTCTGTAGCCCTATAGCCCTATAGCCCTACAGACCTATAGTTTTATAGCATTATAGCCCTATAGCTCTATAGCCCGATCGCTTTATATGCCTATAGCCGAATCGCTTTATATGTCTATAGCTCTCTAACCCTATAGCCCTGTTGCCCAATAGCTCTATAGCCCTACAGCCCAATAGCAAAATAGTCCTATAGCTCTATAGCCCTATAGCCCAATAGCCCTATAGCCCTATAGCCCTATATCCCTATAGCCCTATAGCCCTATAGTCTCATAGCCTTATGGCCCTATAGCCCTATAGCCGTATAGCCCTATAGCCGTACAGCGCTATATGCCTATAGCCCTATAGCCCAATAGCCCCATAGCCCCATACCCCTACAGCCCTATAGCCCTATGGTCAGACAGCCCTATAGCCCCATATCCCTATAGACTCACAGCCCTATGGCTCTCTAGCCCTATAACCCCATAGTCTCAGAGCCCCATGGCCCCATAGCCCCATAGCCTTGCAGCCCTATAGCCCTATGGCCCTATAGCCCCATAGCCCTGTAGCCCTATAGACCTATAGCCCTATGGCCCTATAGCCCCATAGCCCTGTAGCCCTATAGACCTATAGCCCTATGGCCCTATAGCCCTATGGTTCCATTGCCCTATAGCCCTATAGCCCCATCGCCCTATAGCCCAATAGCCCCACAGGCCTATAGCCCTACACAGACTTCGATTGGGGTTTCTCCGGTATCATACATGTACATTTACATCTACACATAGACATGCATACACACATATACACATACACATGTACATGCATTCATACACGTACACCTACATACATACATGCATGCATGCACACATACGTACGCACAAACATACGTACATACATGCATACACGCATACATACATACATACACGCATACATACACACACATACATACATACATACATACATACATACGTACGTACGCACGTACATACACACATACACACATACATGCAACCATACCCACACATACATACATACATACATACATACATACATACATACATACACATACATACATACATACATACATACATACATGCATGCATGCATACATACATACATACACCTATCCATGCATGCAACTGCATATTTACACACATGTGCAATATGCATGTGTATAAATACATATATTATTTTTGTTCATATGTAAACACATGTCAACATCTATTCATACACATTTATATACATGCACAGTGAGAGAGACTAGGACACGATAGAGAGAGAGAGAGAGACAGAGAGAGAGAGAGTGATAGATAGAGGGAGGGAGAGGGAGGGGGGGATAGGGAGAGGACGAGTTCTGCAATGAGTCTTTGGGCGTCTTGGTGCCCTTGTGGGGCTTCTTCTGCTTCTCCAGGGGCTCTCTTGGAGCACTTTTGGGGGGCCTTCGGGGTGTGGTGCCCTCTCTGGGTGTCTTGGGCCCTTTAGGGGCCCTGTTGGGCCGTCATGGCGCCCTCGGGGGTTCGTCTGAGGCATTCTTGCGGGCTCCTTGGCCGTCTTGGGCCCCTCTGGCGGGAAAAGAGAGAAACAGAGAGAGAGAGAGAGAGAAAGACAAAGAGACGTATGCTGTCCATTTGCGCATGCGACATTCTACAGATCACGGTCATACCATCGCAAAAACATGCACCTTTCGCAAGGTCGTGACATAGCATTGAAGTCTCATAGACTTACTTTTTTGATCCCCTCCGCGCGCCGTTGGCCCGTGTTTTGTGTGCTGCCCTCTTGGGCACTTCTCTGGCCACGGCATGCCCAAGAGCACGGATGTGCCAAAACGGATTCCTTCGCTTGCTTCTGGCACGATCCGGGGTGCCCGGGGCCGCTTTTGGGGTCTCCTCAGGGCTCTCTTGGGGCCGCCCGTGCGGCTCTTGGTGCACTCTTGGGGGCCTGCGGTGGGTCTTTCGGGTCGTTGGGGCCGTTCGCGTCGTCCTGGAACACTTTCGGGGCGTCCCGGACGCTCAGACAGGTCTTGGCGCTCCCGCCCCTCTCTCCAGATTGCTGGGATCGACCTCCCTGGGGAGGGACTGCGGAGGGGCATGCGTCTCCCACGCTGGTACCCGCACGGGGTCGGCAAATTCTTGTTGAAGTGGGTTGTGGTTTTCTTTGTGCCAGCGCTGACGAGGTGCACGCTTCTGGAGGCGACCTTCAGCGCGGGAGTGTGGGCGCGCCTCCTTGCTTTCCTAGTGCTGGGATACCTGGTCACATTTGTATGCACTGCTGGCGTGGCCAGCATTTTTCCACCGCCAGCCGAGCAAGCGGCTGAGAGGCCAGTGGTGGGCGTCAGAGAACTTCTTCTTGGCACATCGTCAGATGGCCAGCCTGTGAGCCAGAAGCTGCCTGCTGTGCCGCGACCGCGCCCCCCGTATCGCCGCTACATCTGTGGCATCCTGCTGGCCCTGACGTTGCAGGGGGTGACGAGCCTACACGTCGCCGCAGAGTCCCTCTTCATGGTGTGCGTGTCGCTGCTGGGCTTCACCACCGGCCAGCGGCTGCCTCCCACGCTGCAGAAGTACGCCCACCCGCTGCTGCTGTGCGCCGCGGCAACTCTGGGGGGAGCCGCCGCGTGGGCGGCGCTCGCGGGCCCCGACGTGGGCATGCTGAGCGTGGTGGCCACGTACACATCGTGGCCCGGCGGAGGAGCGCTCCTGAACTAGATGCCGCGCTGCCGCGCATCTTTCCGCCGGCCTGGTTCGGCGACTACAAAGGGCATGGTTACGCCGGGGTGTGGTTTGCGATCGGCACCCTTGGGGCCTGGGGGGCACGACACTGTCCTCGTCGGGCCTCCTCGGGGCGCGGGAGAACTCTATCGAGGTCCCCGCGCGCCCCCTAGGGTGCCCCCCCAGGATGTTCCCCAGGGTGCCGGTTGCAAACCACATCCCTTGCAAACCACACCCTTTGGAGTCGCCGATTGGTTTGGGGAAGCCGCGCAGCAGCGCTCTTAGCACGGCACCGCCGCGGCGTCGCCCTGACCGTCGCGACGCCGCGCGGGAAGCCCCGTCGTGGCCCCTTTTGGGGGCCTCTGGAGGTCGACGGGTCCGTGCCGAGAGCTCCTGGGGCTTTGGGGGGCTGTCGTGGGAGGCCTCGGTGCAGAGTCGGGCCAGTCTTTTGGTGCGGTCTCGCAGCCGTCTCGAGGCCGTGTTGCGCATCCTGG